AAGAATAGCAAATTCTATTTTAAGATCAAAATCAATATGTACGTAACTTATCAGGTTACGGTTTCTTCCGGAAAACTTGCACTATTCGTCCACTAACTATATGCTCGTTGCACTTTTGTCCTTTAATTGTTTCCGGTTTACAATTTGTACACTAACTTTTTTTTTGGTAATTTTAGTCCAAAATGACATTCCGGTGCTCATTTTTGTCGGAATAGCTGATGTGGCGCCCAGTCAGATCGAAATTCCATTCTCGGCGTGATGTGGCACGAGGTGGCACCTAGTCAGATTGGAAAAATTGCACTACTCGTCCACTAACTTTACATTCGTTGCACTTTCGTCCTTTAATTGTTTACGATTTACAAAATCAGAAGAAAAAAAATATTAAGAAAATCAAAAGAAAAAGAAAAGCTTTAAAAAGAAAAAGAAAAGACATGTGGATAAAAAAATTAACAAAAAAAAAAGAATATTAATTAATAAAAAAATCATTTTTTTAATGATTTTAAACAAAATAAATTAAAATATCTTTTTTAAAATAAAAATACATTTTTTTATTTAATTAAAAACGAAATAATTAATAAAAAACGAAATGAAAAACAAAATAAATGTTTAATGAGAAATAAATATTTTTTATTTAATGGTTAAATATTTAATAAAAAAGAAATATTTATCATTTTTTTGTTTAATGAAAAAATATTTTTTATTTAAATAAAAAAAATAAAAAATATTTAATAAAAAATAGAAATATAAAACGAAATAAATATTTTCATGAGTAATAAATATTTAATAAATATTTTTTATTAATGGTTCAATATTTAATGAAAAATTGAATATATTTAATAAAAAAAATTATTTTTTATTTTTCGTTAAATATTTCGTTTTTGTATTAAATACTTAATCATTAAATAAAAAATATTTATCACTCATTATAAATTTATTTTGTTTTTATTAAATATTTTGTTTTTATTTAATCATTAAATATTTCATTTCTTATTAAACTAAAAATTTATATTTTTTCTTTTTCTTTTGATTTTTTCTTTTCCTTTTAAAGCTTTTTATTTTTCGTTTGATTTTTTTAATATTTTTTTCTGATTTTGTAAACTGGAAACAGTTAAAGGACGAAAGTGCAACGAACGTAAAGTTAGTGGACGAACAGTGCAATTTTTCCAATCTGACTAGGCGCCACCTCGTGCCACATCACGCCGAGATTGTAAATTCCGATCTGACTGGGCGCCACATCACCTATTCCGGCGAAAACGAGCACCGAAATGTAATTTTGGACTAAAATTACCAAAAAAAAAGAAGTTAGTGTACCAATTGTAAAGCGGAAACAATTAAAGGACGAAAGTGCAATGGGGTATAATTAGTGGACGAATAGTGCAATTTTACCGTTTCTTCCTGTCCCAATATCCTATTTAAGTTATCATGTTTGCAAAATTCATGTCAATTTTATTTAAGATTAAATATCCTTTTTTTTT